TCTTTCCTGACTCAAAGATCTGTTGAGGTCCCTTCCGGCCCTAGCATCTATGAATCTATGAAACAACTTTTATTTCTTTTATTTCTTAAGTGGATGGTTTCCTAGAGGCTTAGTATATAAACTGGTACAGATTTTAGCATCTTGGCTTCAAGAACTTTAAAGCCATAAACCTGGAATTTTGGACAGAATGAAATAATCAGTGTACAATTAGTATTATCTATGCCATAAATTTAGATGTATATTTACAGCTCAAGGAATGCCCATATATGCAACAACCTTACACAAAAGCAGCAGTGCTAAGTATGGAGACTGTGCATAACATGGGGCAGCACCTAGGCACTCCAGGTCCTGCATGATTGGACCCAGATCTGCTAGACCCAACCCACTTCTGTACCAAAACTGCATACACCTGACCCCCACTGTACCTTTCAGGTTTGGTCCAAGTCTCAAGGGGTGGGGTCTAGTCAGTGTGGAAACAGGGTGGTGGGGGGTGGAGAGGATCAGTGACAGGCAGGTCTGAATACAGGGGGGCGAGATAGGGAATACTGGGGCCAGGGTCAGGCCAGTCCAGTTCCTAAGAAAGTGGACCTAGGGACTTTCCACAAGGCTGGCTTTAGCTGAGTCTGGCTCCTACCCCAGACTACTCAGGGTCATGTGCAAGAGACAGCTGCCTCAGCAGCCTGTGTCCCCCTGAAGCCCTGGAGCACAGTGGGGGGTGATGAAGATGCTAGGCTTTCCAGGCACTCAGAGGGTGTGTTTTGCTCCCTGATCAGCTGGAGCAGCAGAGTCCAAGTGACACACTGTCTCCTGGAAACGTTACAGGGGCCAGAAGCAAAGCATGGTGGGATGCCAGGGAACTGTGCTGTAGCTCCTTTCCAAAAGGTAGGTGTGCAGATGTTCATTCCTCTGGTAGAAATTTTGCCAGGGGCCACTTTTACTAGATTACAGGGGTTGTTTTTTTCCAGAACCACCATTCTTGCTCCAGAAGAAAATTGTTGAATGCCTGTACCCTCAACCAGGGGCAGATCCGGGTGGGTGCAGTGATTCAGTTTCCCCCCCCCCTCCCACACACACACACACTTTGATTCTTGATCCACCCAAAGTTTAAGACCAACTAGGCCCATATACATGAGATGCTAGTGCACAGTAGCCTATTAACACTGCACAGTAGTGTGCCAGGCAAAAAATGTGCTAATAGGCTACTGCGCAGTAGTAGTAGGCTACTGTGCAGTACGCATCACTAAAAACCCATGTGATGGTGCTACTGCTCAGTAATGTGAGTTACTGTGCATTGGTTTAGTACTTGGCTTACCAAGTACTAAATTTAATGCACAATAACTGTGGCAGACAAGGTTCTTTGGGTAAATCTGATATCTTTTATTGGACCAACTCAAGTAGTTGGAAAAATTCTTCTTAGCAAACTTTTGAGTATAAATAGCCTTTGTCAAGCAGAGGAAGCATCTGCAGTTGGTCTGTGCTCTTCCTGGATTCAATGAATGGTAAAGAAGCCAAAGGCTGATCTGCATGCAAGAAAGCCAGTCAATGAAGATGTAAATTGAGGAGTCACTGGGTGAGAGACAGGTTGAGACAGGGGGGAGGGGGTCTCTCACCCACTGACTCCTCAATTTACATCTCTTCATACAAACTTCCTAAAATCTTGTATGACTGTAACCCCACTTTTGCTGAGCCACTTTACTCTGCAGGACTCCTGACCTTCTCAGCAATACTAAGGTCCTGCTGGAGCTCAAGGAATTTATAAGCTCAGCAAGATAAAAAGCTCCTAAGCAACACAATTCTTAAGTGAACAGAGTTTGCAAGTTTAGAAACCAAAATAGCTCCAAGCATGCTGCTTTTGTCTATACACAGGTAACTTAATGATACCAGGAAATGAAAAGTTGTCCGTTTTTACAAGGCAGGTTTACAAATTGAAAGTGCTATTGCTGTCTACAAATATGAGATGCTTCCTGTTTCTACATGTACACAAATATCTTTCAAACACATATTTGGGCTCATAATTTTAAAAGGTTAGAATGAACACCAAGAAAGAAATACTCTGCCTTTCCAAGATCAAGAATTGAGCTGAAGTTATTGTGGGGTTTTTGTTGTGGGTTTTTTGGGGGCAGGGGTTGAGGGGGGGAGGAGGGAAGGGGCACTAGGTGAGGAAGGGAGTGGGTTTATGATCATAAAATAGGCTGCGTTAAACCTTTTATCTTCTGACCCAGTGACAGAGGACATAGGTTTGATTGTGTTCGGAAGGGGAATGGATTTCCTATTAAAGCATAACCTCATGAGTGCTAACCCTGAAAATAATGCTAAAGTCATTTTACTTAAGGTTTCATCTTGGAAGTTTAAAAAACTGTCAAAATCACTTCTGGACACTGGAAATTACTGTTTGAAATGTATTTCTTTGGACTTTGTCCCAGAAAAAGTGGTTGAAAGTGAAGTTGTCGTTCATGACAGTACAGGCGTTAACATTGCTAAAGCTATGAATAGTGCAGACAGCTGCTGTATAACCTCGCCCACAAAGCTTTGTCAAAATATCTCATTTCTATGCTGCAACAACCTATTATTTCACGTTCTACATCTCTTTTGAGCAAATTTTGTTCTACCTTTAAATAAAATAAATTACAATAGGAGCTACCATATTGCCAAAAAATCAATAACTGAAGTACAGTCATTTCATTGTAAGATGTGAAACCACTTTTTATCATACTTTAATATTGGTATGGGAATAAATTAATAAAGGTAACATTCAATGATGTCTTGCCCATAAACCACATTAAAATTACATTTAATGAAATCCCAATAGTTATATGCTAAAAATGAAAGAATAAAGGTAAAAATTACCAACCTTCTGCCACTCAAGTTCCTGTTTCTCCAAAACAATTTTATTAATTTGATCTTCATAATGAATTTCAGCATCCTAATTAAAAAAAAGTCATGAGAATGTTTTAATAGAAGCTATCGGTAAATAGGAATTATGTCCCTAGATAATTTCTTTATTTTTCATTTGCTGTTCAGTACAGAATGTGTCTCTATCCAACAGAAAACAATATGGATGAAACCAAAGAGTTTATATGCTTGGTATAAGTAAAAATGCTCATCATCTTCATTGAATATAACCAATAAAAAAAAAGTCAACAGGCAGAGAAATAATTTGATGAACTAAGAAAACAAATCATTTAACGATCAATAAGTTACCGTTCCCTTGTCATACCAAAGCTTTTTATAACAAAACATTAAGTTAATGGATAAAGCAAGATATCTTAAATTCATTATTAAAAATGTTGTGACTAAACATTCTGATGACACAAAAATAAAATACTGAAGATATCCAACAAACTGAAGTAAATGGTTGAAGCAGAAATTATTTAGCAATGCTGCAAACAACCATGTCTTGGCTCACAAAGGAGAGAACCAGAGCTCCTTCAAGAAATTTTCCAAAATGAAATTGAGAACTACTACTAAAAATCACTTCTGCATTATGTCTATTTTGAAGGGGTCTTACGTATAGGAAGAGGTAATTAAAAGAAATTCTTCACTGATTGGAGCTCAGCATCTTGTTGCTTAGGAAGAAGGGTGGCATAGATTTTAACATTTTGTGCCATTAAGATCTCTCAATAAGCATGTGAAAAAAAGGAGGTTATGACAAGGAAGCAGGTATTCAAAGATCTTTAGACATAAAGGCAGGTTCTAACACTTGCCTAAGCTAGATTTCCAAGATCTGAAAACCTCAGACATTTAGTCAAAAGAAATTAGTATTTTCTGCTTTTTCTCATTTCAGAGTCTGGAAAAAATAGGCAGAAGTGGAAAGATGCGTGTCAGGACTCCTATTCTTACAAAAGCATCTGCCTTGGAATCAAGCTGCTATTGTAGTAACAAAACAAATCTTTGCTGACTGTTTGTCAAAGATGCCAACAATTTAGGTGCAATTTCAAACATTTTAATATATAAATGTAGTTTTCCTTGTTGAAAATTCCCAATTCCTAACCAGAATCAGATCCCTCTTGCACAATTTGCAAATTGTACAAACACTGCTCTTTCCC